AAGCCCGGTGCCTGAGTTCTGTCTCATCTACAGGTACCTTTTCACCACGTTATGACACAGTAGAGAACCTCTCCAAATTTGGACAAAGACTGTGAACTTCCAGTCTCCAGAATTCCGAGCCAAATAAACTTCTGTCCCTTGTAAATCATGTCCTCTCAAGTATTTTTGTCATAGCAACAAAAAACAGGCTAAGACACTGAGCCAGACCATGTTCTCAAACCAGGATACAACAGTGATGAAGACAAAACTCTCTGTCTTCAGGAAGCTTACACTCTAGCAGACTGACAGCAACAATAAAATTTGGACTATGTCAGATAGCAGCAAGGGCTATGAGGAAAAACAAAGCAAGGAAGAGAGATCAGAATTAGAGGCCAGGAAAGGGAAAATGTAAATGCTTAGTTCCAAGTTTACCATTCCTTCAAAACAAAGTCATCATCCCAGCCACTTGGGAGGTGGAGATAGACAAGAGGCTCTCTAGTTGGAGGCTAGCCCAGGCAAAGACAGAGGTGAGACCTTGTCTCAAAAATAAAAGGGCTGGTGGCACAGCTCTAACCCTAGAGCTCTTGCCTAGCATGCTCAAGGCCCTGGGTTCAATCACCAGCACCACAAAAAAATAAATAAGTAAAATCATCATTTCCTCTGTCAAAGAACTTTGCAATCATTATGTTAATGATCCCTGGGCAACCACAGCACTCAGAAATAAAAACTAAGAATTGTATGGATCAATCCAGGCACATTGGTACACACCTGTAATCCCAGTATTCGGGAGACTAAAGCAGGAGGATCATTAATCTAGGGCCAGGCTACATAGTGAGATCCTGTCTCCAAAAAAAAAGAAAGAATTATCATACACCAGAAAGGGTCCATTTAAAAAGGGACAAACTGAAGATCCAATAATAGCTACCACTCTGCAACACACAATTCTCAGTTCCTTATACACCAGTAACCTCATTTACCCTTCAAGTAGAACAAATGGCAAGAGTAGCATTATTTTCCCCAATCAACAGGAAACAGAAGCCCAGAGCAGTGAAGGAATTGGCCCAAGGTCACACTGTGCTATGTAATGACCCAAAGTCTATGCTACTCTTTTCCCTAATAAATGTCCATCAGTGGCCTACAGATTTTTCCTTTTGCCAACACCTGTTTTTTTTAATCCCATTCAAGATTTGCCATTCAGTATTTTACAGCACTCTTACATCCCCACCAAAGCCCCAAAAAAGAGTTGTAGAATGGGTTCCATAGCTCCAATGTCCTCTTTTTCTCCAAATGACAAAAAGCAAATAGCAATGACAACCCTCAAAGATTTAAATAACAATTCTAGATCCAATTAGAAATTGTTTGCTTAAACATGACCTTAGAAGCAGCCTCCAAAGCAGTTCGATTATGGTTGAGAGTAAAGTTAGCCTTAGAGCAACTGAGCATTCATACAGCTGACTTCCTCCTAGGTGTAGACATCTCAGGGCAGACAACAGCATGAACAGCACTCATCCTACCCACAAAGTGCATCCCTCTCCTGTGTCCTCATCTCTGCAGAAGGTGCCTCAACCTCCTCCCTCCCCTACCCCAGCCTCTCAGGCCTACAACTCAAGGGTCATCCCTCCCCATTTCTCTCTCAAACATCCACATCCAACCCATCAGCAATCTCCATCCCTCTCACTCCAAATCCACCCGTTCTCTCCATTTCTCTGCCCTAGGGACCTCTTGCCTGGACCACTGTGATGGGCTAACTGGTCTCCCTGTGTCACCCTCTGATCCCTTAAAAACTTCATCGCTACACAGCAGCCACAGAGACTGTGTTACCTCCATGCCTAAAATCCTTCTGGGCTGGCAGAGTGGCTCAAGTGGTAGAGTGCCTGCCTAGCAACTGTGAGGCCCTGAGTGCAAACCCCAGTACTGCCAAAATTAATTAATTAATTTATTAATTAAAAGCTTTAGTAATTGCCTTCCTGGGGACTTACTGCCTAGTTTGCAAGCATGAAGCCCTGAGTTCAAACCCAAGTACCACACAAAAAGAAAAACAAAAAACTAAAATCCTTCTGGGCAACCAGGATGCACCTGATGTTCCAGGTCAGCCCCTCGAGGTGTGGAAGCTGGCAAAGCCCCCTCCCCAAACTCTGGAGATTTACTCTCGCCTGGTGCACTCTGTATGAAAACTACAGAATGGGCAGCAAGACAGCATTCTCCATGAAAATGCGAACCACAGCAGACACTAGATCCACACCCAAAGTCACCCCTGCAAATACCTGCCTCTACCTTATCTCCTCTTCCTAACCTCCATGGACTTGCCCTCTCCTGAATGCTCTGCTGAGATGGATTTACTCCTTCATGCCATCCTGGAAAACCTATGTAATAATGAACTGAAAACCCTTAATTGTGTTTTCCTCCCACTCTAATTACTCTCACCTAGCGAGTGTGTTGGGCTTGCTCTCCTGAGCTGAGTGGTTTTCTGGCCTCCTGTGATCTTTCTTGTTTGCTTGCTTGCTTTGAGACGGGCTGTCCCTATGTTGCCCAGTTTGGCCTGGAACTCCCACGATCAAGTGAACCTCCAGCCTCCATCCTGAGTGGCTGTACCACCACAGCGTGACTTCATTTTATGTCATTTATTTCATGTTATGGCCCAAACTGCCTTCATAAGGGCACACTGATGGGGCTGAAGGTGATATAAATAAATTAAGGCAGAATATGATGCTAAATATTAAAATGTAAGCTCCACAGCAACTTAAGGACATGTAAGACATCACCAGGGTGAGAGCTGTTGGTGGGTGACCAGGAGCCTAGGGAAGAGCATTCTCAATGGCACAACTGAGAAGGCCTCACCAGGAACTCTGTGGCTCGAAATTGGTCCTTAACTGCAGGCAACTTGAAAGGATCTTCCCAAGGAAGATGCTGTGAGGTCCCAAAAGAAGGACAGTGTGGGTCAGCCAGCTCAAGTACTTACACCAAGGTGAGGGTTGTCACCCTCTGCAATTCTGAGTGACTTCTGCTACATCATGAGAAGACACCCATGTGCTTTATTGATTGGGCTAGCTCTGGCTCCTACAACAGTGGCCTGGCACATAGTAGGCACTCAATAAGAGTCTGTGAATATATTAATAGCAAATGAATGCCCCTTTAAGGTTTCTATCTTGATCCTCTTCTCTCTTCCTTTTCACTGACACAGATCTCCTTTAGAATCTAGAGAAAGGACAGTGTGCGGCACAGGGTCATCATAAATCTTCTCCAGACCACTAATGGAGCTTGGGCCATGGCTTAGAGAACACAGTGCAGGAAACAGAAGCCAAGACACAGAGACATTAACCATTAGAGGCAATGCTTGAGTCTACTGTGGTAAGAGCACGCACTGGCGGACAGCTATAAACCCAGCAAGCCAATTCAGTAAAGAGCCTTCACTTGGGCAGGCCCACGGTGTGCATTATATGGCGGGATCTACCTTCAACCAGGTAGGTTTGTTATTAATGTCTCTTCTCAATCTTGCCTCCAATCTGAACCACAGTGGGCTTAAAACTAAGCAAAAGAGCATTACTTCAATTGACCCTAAATCCACTCCAAAGAACAAATCCCTTAACACACATTGCAGGTAAAATATTATACTCAAATGAGTAACGCAACTAATCCGGAGTGGAAGCTCTGCTGGCCTCATAAACTCTCGAAGAAAAAGCCCAAAGGCGACCATCCAACTCAGCAGCAAAGCGCTGTCCCTGACACGGGACCTTGAGATGCCATTAACAAGGCAGGAGGATATCCAAGCACGGAGATTAGACTGAGTCATCTATCTCTCCCATCCTACATACTCTACCTCTGCTTTTCCAGCTTTCAAGAATTGAAGAGGGAAAGAGAAAGGTAAAAGCAGGCACTAAGGCTATTTTGAGAAATAAAAGGATTCAAAAGTTAAGTGCAACTTCCACTAACATAGTAACAGATCTCCAAGGAAACCGAGTGACTGGAGAGTTCTGTATCTGGAACTCAATGGAGAGACAACTGGTTCCCATACATGTAAAGTCATCTTCCTTCAAGTTGAGTTTCATGTAAATAACAGCCTGACAGTGTTTCAGCTGGAAGCAATAAAGCAATCTGAACATTTCCAAACAGCCTTCGGGAAGAGAAGACCAAGTGATTCAGTCCAACCAGCAGAAATAGGCAAGATTTTGCAGGGCTGGCTTCAAATCTCACAGGCATACTCAAAAGCCCCACGCCTAATATAAGATCCAGGGACTATTAAGGGCGGACAGAGGATCCCACCAACTCCCCACCCCCCAAATGCCTGATGGGCGTTCACTTTTTTTGGCTTGTTTATTAAAAACGAGAGAGAGAGAGAGAGAGAAATGATGCTGTAAATCCTCCTCACAATTGTAGTCCATGCACTGCCATCACGACTAGTGTGCTGGGAGCCCTGTTCCTCAACATCCTCATCCTTCCATGTGTCTGTCCACAACTACATTTCCCAACTTTGAGAAGGGGCAAACTTTAAATGGCACCTGGTAGTAATAACAATAAACAGCAAACTACCATTTTGAAAGGGAAGAGGGTGTTTTCTATTTCTTTCTTTTTGCCGAAACTTCCGTTGCAGAGTTGGAAGCCACCAACTGAGGAAGGGGTTTGCACGCGCGCCCGAGGGCGCCGAGGATGACAAGTGGCAGGCTTTTTGTTGTTGGCGGGGCTGTTTTTCAACACCAAAGTTTAAAACCAACTATGTTCCGGGAAGAATTTCTGCGATCTCAACAGACATGCTAAAACCTCTTCAGCCGGACACAAAGCACGCCCTCTCTGCCTGCCTTTCTCAGTCATTCTCCAGGGGTGCGCAAAACCGCTGGCAGTCAGGCAGGCGGGACCCAGGAGCCCACCAGCAGATGCCCCGGCGCGCCCATCCTGGGGGCCCCCCGGGAGCGGCGTGGGGACGCAGCCAAGGGCGCGGGGCCGAGGTGGCTCGAGTCGCGGGTGGCACCGCCGCGCGCGCACTCACACTCAACTCACGCGCGCGGCGAGGGGCGCGGGCGCGTTACCTGTTCTGCCAGCCCTGGAGGAGGTTGGTGTATTTGCTGAGCACGCCCTCGAGCGCCGGCTCTCTCCTGCGGCCGCCACTCCCGGACGGGCTAGCGGCCACCGAGCCCGGGCTGCTGCGGCTGCCCCCGCCGCCCAGCGCGGCCGTCGCCGACCGGCCCGAGACCCCCCGGCCCGCCAGGGAGCAGGAGGGCGAGGAGCCCGCCGAGGTGGCGCGGCTGCTGCTGCGGCTGCTGCAATTGCTGCCCCCGCCGCTGTCTGCGCCCTGGGCCGCCCTCTCCATGGTCCGTGCGCGCCCGGGACGCGGGTGCCCGCCGCGGTGACGGCCCCGGCGCGGCGGCGGCGGCGGCGGCTGCTTCTGCTACAGCTCCGGGCGCCCGGGCCGCGCGTGGCTGCTCCGAATCCCCGGGAAATGCCTGACTCATACAGGAGGAAGAGGAGGAGGCGGGAAGGAGGGAAGGAGGGCTGGGAAGGAAGCCAGAGGGGCTGGATGCAGCTGCGGCCGCCCCTCCTCCCGCCGCGGCCGGCCCGGCCCCGCCCTCCCGCGACTTCCCCGGCAAGTTGGGAGCGCGTGGCCGGCCCGCGAGCCCCTCCGCGGCCCTCCTCCTCCCCCGCGCGTCTGGAGTCGCGCAGCCCGGGAAGGGGGCGCTCCTAGGGGGCCAGCCGGCCAGGTGGGCACGCCCTAGATCCGCGCCGGGCCACTCTCCCCTTCCTTCTGCCGCCCCCTCTCGGATCCGTAAGGGGCGAAAGGGAATCTCGGCGTCGCACTCCCCTCCCCCCGCCCACCTCGGGACCTGGAGGGAGGGGCGGCCCCACCCACCGGGTCCACCCGGATATGGACCCGCCCGGCCTGCCACCCGCGCTCGCTCCCCCCAGCCTCGCGCACACAGCCTGGGCCAGGCACGTACGAGGCAAGCTGGAAATCAGCCTCACCCGCAGCGCGCAGGCACTGGGCTGCCAGGCCCTCGGGGGCTGCCCTGCGTATCCGCAGGGGGAGGGAAGGGGCTGGGGATTCTGCAGGTGAGCCCGCCGGGGCGTGTCTAGGCCGCGGAGTTCGGACACCTGGGCCGGGACTGGGTCCGTGCAAGTGACTCCTTAAAGTGAATGTTGTAGGAGGCTGCTTGCCTCCACTAATCCCAGCCCTGATGGACACACAAACCCCACAATTCAAGACCTAACCCTTTGTTATCATACAGCACATGCACCTGGGAAGCAGCGGCTCTGAGACCCGCGAGGGTCCACGATGCAAGTGAGAGAGACAGATAATCACAAACAAGCTTTCTCTATGGCTACAACTTCTTTCCCCCATCCCCACCCCAAGACACACTGCCCTTCATCGCAAGTTCCCAGTCTAAACGTGTGGCTTTTTGGCAAAAACACATGGCTCGCACTCTCTCTGCCCTATTAATGATGTTTGTGAATATAAATATTCAATTAGACCTGGAAGTTTCTAGAGTTACCAGGAAAAAAGAGTTTTGGGGAGCTGTATGTGTTTCCCTCACAAACACATACAAGAGAAACACGTGATCCCCCGTCCACGGGATCTACAGACCCCTAAAGCAGATAAATAGTTCAATAGTTTAAAAAATGACTGGATACATTAGTTCTCAGGGGGGCGACTCCCCAGGTCCAGGCTTTTTCCAGGTTCACATCCTTCCAGGAAGGTGTCAAAGGGGATACCCTCTACAAAATGTCATGGAGAAGTTTCTGGGGCTGATGAGAAAAGGTCCTGCCACCTAACAAATTATAATTCCGGACACCTACACACTGTAAAAAAAAAGAAAAACCAGCTCTTTTCCAGGAAAGAGGTTACATGGACCAACATGGAAGCCAGACAGAGCTGAGTTTTAATGTATGACCTTAATCAAGTTACCGCTTTCAGCTTTAGTTTTCTTACCTGCAAGTAGGACTAATAATACTAACAGTAATGAACTCTGGAAAACTGTTTATTTACTCAAAATATTTACCACCTCCTAAGAAAAGTGGCTTCAGGCTTGCCCCTGGAATTGCTCTGACCAGTGGAATACCAACAGAAGCCAACATCCACCGTTGCCAAACATAGGCTCGCAGAGCCATCTCACCATTCCACCAACTTTGTCTTCCCTTATGGAGGATGAACAGCGTGTCTCAGATTAGGGCTGTCCTTAAGCTTAAGTCCTGGAGAGAGAAGACTTGTGGACAACAGCAGAGCCAAGTCAGTTAACATTGGCTATATGTAACATTGCACAAAATGTTTGTTTGAAGCCACTGAGATTTTAGCATTTTTTTTTCTCATAGCATAACCCCTGATAACCGATCAGAATGTGAGGATTCAAGGCTTTCACAGACATGAAGCCTGAGCAGGTTATAGTATGCTGAATGATAAATGTCAGTCACCTCTTCCTTTTTATGGGAGACTACCACCCTAAAGAGGGAGAGGTGGCACCATTTGATTATCTACCCTACACAGCATTATTGCACTCTAGCTAGCCAAATGTAACCTAATGAGCTAGCATGGCAAACTCTCACATTGTACAAGACCTTTAGTTGGGCGTGGTGGTATGTTCCTGTAATACCAGCACTTCGGGGGGAGGATCTTGAGTTAGAGGCCAACCTAGGCTACGTGATGAAATCAATATCCTGTTTCAAAAAAACAAAAACAGGGCTGGAAACATGGCTCAAGTAGTAGAGCACCTGCCTAGCAAGCACAAAGCCCTGAGTTCAAACCCCAGTACCACCAAAACAAACAAAAAACCCAAGTCCTTTGAGATGGTCTATTTGAAGGAAAAAAAAAAAACAGAGAGCTAAGATGAAAAGATTCATCTTAGCATCAGGGCCAAGATGGACCAGAAATAAGCCAATTGTGTGGAATCAAAAAAGCAACCCAAGAAGTCAGCAAGAGGTGGGTGGAGCCTGTGGGCTGAAAAAAAGAGGCAATGCCATGGAAGAGCAACAATGCACATGCTGTTTCCCTCCACCAGCCACACCTTCCCTGCTGTCCACCTGGTTTGTGCTTCTCATGCATGGAGATTTGAATTAAAAGTCGCTTCATCCAGAAACCTACCTCAATCTACCCTCACATAGCAGGGAGGGAAATGTCGCCTGCAGAATTCTCTTTAGAGAGAAAAACATCATATTAGAAAAACAATTTGAGAACAAATACATAATAAATTGGCCAAAAAAAAGTATATACATGTCTACTATAAGGGCCATTTCTTTCATATACCCAGATTGCATAAATCATTAAGAAAAATTACAAATGTAACTAGGATGAGTAGAATTCTAACAGCCATGTTAGCCCATGTGAAGACTTGAGAATGGAAGCCATGCAAGATTCAAGCAAGAAGGAAAACCCCTCAAAATAATGGACAAAATCACCCACCCCCTGCCAGAACGCACTGCCCCCTGCCTTCTCCTCTATTGGACCAGTAGAACTGGCCTAGAGTTTCTGGAGCTCTCTGCTTTAACTGGGAATGTCATTCACACCAGTGATAACACAAAGCCTGGAAGGAGAAAGTAGACATTGACCTAGTTGGCCGGATGAGCTGAATGAAGCCAGGCCTCAAGTAGAGAAAAAGTTGCCATAATCAGATCACCATCTGTGTCACTCAGTCGTATCTGAGTCAGAAATGCCTTGTCCAAGTGTTCTTGAGCTCTTTCTATGGGGTTTAACCCTTCGAATCCTCACAATCACCCCATAAGGAAACCCACAGTTCTTATTCCCAGCTTAGGATGGAGGGAACTGAATCAAGGAACAGTTAAGCACCATCTTCCCAAAGTCTCATGGAGCCAGGATTTAAAATCAGACAACTTGACAACTAAGCCTCAATTCTTAATCTCGGTGTTACACCACTTGTGACATTGCTTCGTCATGGAGCCAGTTCATTTCCTGTACTTAATGAAACCACTGCTCAGCGGCTGGAATTCCATTTCCTGTTGAATTTTTGCTCATTTAGGAGCATCACCATCGTGAAGGAAGCCAAGATACCATTGTTAGGGTCCTTGCCCTGAGCTACAGGGCTGCGCTCAATGACAATAAGCTGATTACTGCTAGAAAAATGAAGCCCACTTTTACAAGGAAGAAGCAGACACTCAGGAGGAGCTAATACTGAACCAACGTCTTCTGACTATTTATCCAAAGAGAAAGAAAACCTATGCTTTTGTACAAAAAACTTCCATGTAAATGTGTATTGCTACTTTATTCATAATCACCAAAATGTGTAAACAGCCCAAATATCCCTCAAGCTATGATACTTTTTTTTTTTTAATACTGGGGTTTGAACTCAGGGCTACACCTTGAGCCATTCCACCAGTCCTTTTTCTGTGATGGGTTTTTTTTAAGATAGGGTCTTGTGAACTATTTGCCTAGGCTGGCTTCAAACCAAGATCCCCCTGATCTCTGCCTCCTGAGTAGCCAGGATTACAGGCATGAGCCAACAGTGCCCAGCTCTATGATACATTTATACAATGAGCAGCAATAAAAGAAAGAAAACTATTGGTAAATGCAACATCACAGGTTAATCTCGAGTGCATTATGCTAAATGAAAGAAGTCAGACTATATTTTCCCTTCTGGAAAAGGCAGAACCATAGTGAGAGTACAGGTTAGTGGTTGCCAAGAGGACAGGGTGAAGCAAGGGCTTGACTACAAAGAGGAAGCTGCAGAAAACTTTCTTTTTTTGGGGGGGTGGCGGGGCGGATGGTGAAACTGCTCAGTGTCTTGATTGTGATAGTAGCTTGTAAGAATGGCACTCTTGCCAAAACTCCACCCAAGCCTGGGTGCCAGTGCCTCACTTCTAATCCTAGCTACTTAGAGGCAGAAATCAGGAAGCTCGTGGCCAGCCCAGCAAACATTTCTCCAGACTCTATCTCAAAAATACACAACACAAAACAAGGACTGGCAGAGTGGCTCAAGTGGTAGAGCACCTGCCTAGCAAGCATGAAGCCCTGAGTTCAAACCCCAGTACCTCCCCCAAAAATAATAATAATAACTCCACCCAAGCAGTCAGGCATGGTGGCAAGAGAGCTTGTAATTCCAGCACTCAGGAGGCTGAGGCAGGAGGATTGTGAATTCAAGGCCAGTCTGGCTACACTGAAAGACCCTACCAGACTCCACCTAAAAGAATAAATTTTATCTAGGCATGGTGGCTCATGCCTGTAATCCTAGCTACTCAGGAGGCAGACAGAGATCTGGTTGATCATGGTTTGAAGCCAGCCCGGGCAAATAGTTCACAAGACCCTGTCTCGAAAAAAACCTTCACAAAAAAGGACAATGGACTGGCTCAAGATAGCCTGAGTTCAAGCCCCAGTACCTGCCCCCCCAAAAAAAAAAGAATAGAAAGATTGCAGTCAAGGCTGGCTCAGGCATAAATGCAGGACTCTATTTGTAAAATATATAAAGCAAAGAACCCAGATGTTAAAGCAACTGCCTGTCAAGGGCAAGGCCCTGAGTTCAAACCCCAGTACCTCCACCAAAAGGAAAAAGAAAAAGAAAAGAAGAAACATATGAGCTCAAATGCTTTGTATACCTTCATGTTAGAGAATGGGTTTTCTATGTGAGAGAACAAAAAGGAAGGAAGGATGGATGGATGTTTCTGCTCTGAGTAGCTGTCATCTCAGCTACTCAAAGCAGAAATAGGAGGATTAGAGGTCCAGACCACTCAGAGCATAAATGGGAAGCCCAATATGAAAAATACT